GTACAAAGGGAATGTGTGATTGAAAATGTAAAATGTAATTTTTTTTTTTTTAAGAATGTATGGTTTAAAATATGGAATTTTTTTTATTTATATATAAAATTATTTCATCAGAAGAATATGTGATTGAAAATAAATTTTAAAAAATAGGGCTTGAAAAGGGCTTAATTCATAGATAGATTCTCCTAGGGAAAAATTCATAAGTAATAGTTTAACTATAACTTATTTCAAAACTAAGATAAAATTTTTAAAATTTAAGAATCAGTATTTTATTTCCAAAGTAATTAATTCAAAAATGTTTTACTAATTAAATATAAGGTCACGATTCTATGCAATTTGGTCACAAATTATTGATTTATAATTTGGTTATAAATAATTTCTCGGTCACAATTAAGAATTTTATAGGTCATTCCCTCACATGGAGAGGACCGACTTCGGATAAATTATATTTTATTCGAAGTGAGTCTCTCTCTATGTGAAGGGGTGGACACCATTATGAATACAATATTAAGTACAAGTAGCATATTTTTCTTTCTAGCCTTCAAAATCGAAGTGGTCCCCGTCCCCCTTCATGTGAAAGGGACGAATACTGTTATGAACATTCTGATATACATGTAGCATTACTCGGCTAGAAATAGTCTCCACTCACGTAGAAGAATATCTGCTTGAGCCCCATTTTTTACGGGTAATAGATTTTGTAATCGTAATTTTTTTGCCTTTTTTTTTTTCTTTTGAGAACGTGGAATTATGATTTATTTTTCTTAGGGTCGTTTAATTCAATGAATTTCTAAATTCAAGTTGTTTAATAAATAATATCGAATATCTTGTAGGCACTCAGTATGTGTTCATTGCACTAGCCAAAGCCGAAGTGCTTTTTTTTTTTTTTCCTCCTAAAAGGCTGCATTTGGATAGAATCAAACAGAATTTTGATTCTTCAATTGAAATCAGGAGAGGATCATAATCGACCAATTCTCGATTTTAAGTATCTATCGTTGTAAAATACTAAACTGGTTGATTTCGAGAAATTTGCCCAAGCTTAGAAGTCAAAAGTTGTACACCTTTTTTATTTTTTCAATTTTTTTGGTCCAATTTTTTTAGTTGGTGAGGTTGAATAAACTAATTAAATAAAAAGAATAACTAAAATAAAGATTTTAATTTTATTAAAATAATAATTAATGATCTTAGAATAACTATAATAATAGTAAAAAATAGATAAATGCTTTGTTATCTAAGCTCACAAGACTTGGATCCTTGAGTCTTGATCTCGTCACACTTCAAGCCTTTAAAAACATTGAGTAAAATTAACATTTGACTCCCATGTGTATGGTTGACAAGCGGGTTTGTTAACTCCGATTGTATATGTAGCATGGCCGATTTCAAAAAGGATAGACAGTAATGGTCATTGATCAAACAAAAAATGGATAGAAAATTGAAGTTTTATACAATAACCTGTAATTTCGTGTACATAAATTTAAGATGTAAATGAGCTTATTTTGGTAGAAGAATCCAAGGATAATGAAAATTAACACAGTAATCTTCAATAATTTCAAGAATATTGAACGATTTTTTTATAAGCAGCTTTACACAATTATGTGGAAAATATTGGAGTAAATTAAAAAAAATATTAGTGTTTGTTAAAGTTTACAAAATTAGAACTTTACCAGAAGAATTTGATAATTATAGTTTATGTAATTTCGTGACAAATTACGATGTGTGTATTATTTGAAAAACTAATATCTTTTAGTAAATTGTTTTTAATAAATTGTAATGATTTTAATGTACGTTATGTATTAATTTCAATTATAGTATATGCAATATTTTAACGTACTTTATATTTTTTCAAAAAGCACAAACATTTATGTATGTGGGGCTGGATGTACATCAGCGGGAATCAAATTAACAAGAAGAATTCTTCAACTCTTGAATTCATCCTATTGCTCGACTTATCTCTAGCTTTTTCTTCCTCCACGATCAAGAAATTCAGGTTGACGCCAAACTCAAGAGAAAATTCTACGTTTTTTTCAGAAAAATCTCTGGTTCCACCCTTTTGATCTCCTAGGCTTATGGCATTTATGGATTAACTCAAAGTCAAACAACTCAAACCCCAATATATCCATAGCATCCTTAAAATCATGTTTTTTCAAAATTTGGAGTCGTCTTTGAATTAAGGACCCATACATATACATGTCAATTAAATATTAACATGAAGTGTTTAGTTTCATATTCCAAGACACTAGAAGTTTTCTCCAGTCCATTTAAAGTCGATTCCATTAGTTTGATAAAGAAAATGTATTTTATAACAGCACGAAATATCCCTATGTTTGAAGTTTATTGTATAAAACGTCCCCACTTTGCAGTTTTTGTATTTTCACTTCTATTGATATATTTCATTATGAAAATCATCATTTTTATCTATTTTCATTCATTTTCTTAATTAAAAGTTGTGAAATAACGAATATACTCTCTTATTTAAATAAAAGAGAAAAGAAAAGAAATAAAGAATTAATTCCAATCATAGTTCCAAAATTTTTAAAAAAAATTTCAAATGAGTCTCAAATACATAATTAAAAATCAAAATGATGATTTTCAAAATGAAATGTGTAAATAGGGATGAAAATGTAAGAAATGCAAGTTTGGGGCATTTTGTATAATGAACTTCAAACATAGAGACGATTTGTGCTAATAACCCAAATATAATGCCCTTGTTTTCTCATTTTTTGATCATGATACATATTCGAATAATATTTAAACCCTATTTCAATCACACATTTTTTTATAAAATAATATTACACAAAAATTATAGATTTTTCTTTACTTTTCAATCACATATTCTCCATCAAAACGCTATTTTTGAAATGTATTTTTTTTTTTTTTGGGACTCAAACAAGCCCAGTATAAAAGTTTCACTGTTCGCCCCAATTGTATTGATATTGGTAAGTTGGTTTCTGATTTTCAAAATGGAGCAAAGACGTCCTCGACATTTTTTTATTGAAAAGAATAAAAAGGCTAAAACGCCGAACTGAAGAAAGGAAAAATAAGAATAAAGGGAACAGGAAGAAGAAAACCTTCCGCCGATTACACCCAACTGCCTTCGCCGGCGACCACCAACACCAAAGCAGTTTCGGCTCCATCACCAACGCCACCTTCTCCGCCTCGTTGCTTCCTGGAAGTGTGCTCAGTGTAGTAGCTTGTAACAGCTGCTGTTGCATTTTTCAGTTTCTTAAAATTTTACGCATATATTAATTAGGCACCACAGATATGGCAACTACAAATTTTCTGTTCGGTATCGCAAAGAAATATTTCACCGTTGGGCTGATAAGCCTCACAGAATTTGACCGATATGTAAGCCCTACCGCCATTCGCGGCTCCTCAATGTCTCCCACTCTTAACCCCCATGACGAAGATTCTGCTGCAATTTGATGGGTTATTTCGTATTTTACTGATCGTTTTTACTTTGTGGGAAAGATTTTTACTGGGTTGTTACTGGTGCCTGCAGATGACTATGCATTGGTTGAGAAATACAAGTTTTCGCACGGTGACGTGGTGGTTTTCCGGTAATTAAATCTCTTGCTTGGCATTAGTATTGTTGGTTCCTTTTTTAAATCCAGATTATTTGGATTTTATGCTTCTTCAGTTTTAAGCACAAACCCATATTTACTGGTTTTTTTTGTCAGAATTATGGGACATGAATGTTCTTCTTTATGACTTGCTGATTGAATCTAACTACGGAAATTTGTTTAAGCCCATCTAGACCTTTAAACACAGGCAATAATGAAGTTCACTTCAAGGTTAAATTTAGATTGAGTTCAAACTTAGTATTTGACAATTTTTTTTAGGCCATGCTCTCATCATCATTCTCCACTTAAATAACCTTTCTCTAGATATGAATTGGAGATGCTGAAATTCAATTGATGATATCCAACCAAACAAAATTCATCTTTTGTATTGTTGTTTGCTGGATCGATAGCCACATAACCAAATGCTTTAATATGTCAAACAAATTATTAGTATCCTTTAATCATTGATCAAGATGAGTACCCTGATCTGTTATTTTTTCCTATGTACATAAACAGGAATGCAATCTCCCTGCTTAACTGGTTTTTGACTGAGCCTTGATTGTATTCCTTTCAGTAACCTAATGAATTTCTCTGCCTTAAGAGAAAAAAAAATATGTTTGATAAATTTAATGCTATTATCTAATGATAAAGTTGGTAGACAACAGCTTAGCATAATGAAGAAAATTTGCTGGTAGCAATGAACATTGAGGTCTATAGATGCCTTGTATTCAAATATGTTGGCAAGCGAGATGTTGGCTAATATGTTTCTCAAAGAAAGATCCTTAAAGCTGGGTTTTAGATCAGGTAACTTGGTAAAAGGAGTGAGTGGGGAAACATGGCTGACTTTATGTATTTTCATTGATGGCATCAAATTGTATTTTTCTCTTTCAACCATCTTCTGAGACGAGAAGCTTGAGTTCTGGACCAATACAATAGCTGTTCATATCTATGCACATGAAATTTTTCCTGTTAGCTGTGTGCATCTTCCATTCCATCTAGTAGGTAATTTATAGAAATGCCTTTAATGAAGTTGTGGCTTGTAAAAGATTGATGCGGCTGAATATTTTCTCTTGAGAATAATTAACATTCTGTGTGCTGCATAATATGATTTATAAGTTTTTTGCAACTTAAATTGGTAACATGATCTCATGGCATATGCCTTTGAGCACTGTACTTTGAGGTTTCCTATTCTGAGCTCAAGAGGCATAGATTAGGACCAATAAAAATGTCGGCCTTTACTATTTTCCTGAAAACTTATAAAATATTAACTACTGCATGAAGTATAGCTAGTTCTTCTTAAAATCATGAAACTAATTCTTCATGATTTATTTGAGGAGGGAAGCGCTCTTGCAATTAAAATCTAATGACACTTTATCTGGATGTTTTCTTTCTATTCATTATTCACTAATGCTATATATATATATATATATATATTTGGGAGTCATCATACTTGAATTACTTGTTACTTTTTTGAACCATGATTAAATTTATTTTTAAAAAACTTCGTGATTGCTACCATAATGGAAGTGATTCATAAATCGTTTGGGTGTTATGTTGAGTCCTCACAGATGGAGAAACTGGGGTTCTATAATCTTTCTATAGGCTTTCAATTACGTTACTCAATTTTCTAGCACACTATAATCACCATTCCTGCACGCCATTTCCCACTTAAATGCTAGCTCAAAGACATAAAGGGTGTAGTCAATACCCCCCAACTAGAAGGGTAGTCCATCTGTGAAAGGTTTTCATCTATCCAATGTTCCATCCATTTTAGGTTCTACATTACAGGCAGATGCAAGAGTTGGAAGCCAATCATTGATTCCCAATTGTGGGTGAATGGAGTTGACTGTGAATTCAGAATATTTTTGTTATTTTGCATTTGTTGTGATAGTGCTGTATCTCTATAATTCAGATTAGGCTACAGAACTGTAGATGGCATTTTCACATCATAAAATATATTCCACTAAAAACTGAACAAGTTTTTACATTGGACTTGGTTGTCAGAGGTGAAAAAATATGGTAGCCATGAGAGTTGAACTTTAGGGGGTTGGTGTGTTACTAACATTGAAAGCTGGAATTTTTGGAGACAGTGCTGCTTCAACGGCTATTGGCCACTTGGAGGTGGTACTGTGACCTGCTTAATTTGGAGGAGGAGAGAGAGAGATTGATACAAGTGGATAAAAATGATATTTGAAAATAATTTTCTGTGTCAGTATTTATATGCCCCCAGGCCCTAGAAGTAAAATTAGATTGCAAACCTTGCTATACATATTCACAAAGAAAATAGGTAGATCAATAAATTAATTCCAAAACATGCACTATATGCTACTTTTGTGATATGTTGGTAAAAACTTGTAAACAACATTTTTAGGTCTAAAATATAATCGCATTCACCATCCTTTGCAGTTCCCCAAGTAATCACAAACAGAAAAATGTAAAGAGAATCACTGCTTTGCCTGGTGACTGGATAAATATCTCTTCATATGATGCCATGATGATACCTGAAGGGCATCATTGGGTTGAGGGAGACAATCCAGCCTGTAGCATAGACTCAAGATCCTTTGGCCCCGTATGTTACAAATTGCTTCATATTTTTATTTTTCATCCATGAAGTTAAGAACTTCCATGGATTACACTGATGGTTTTGTGTGTCATTTTGCTAGAAGCCATTGGTCAGTAATCGTTTTGGCAAAGTATTTCGTACGTGCCTGGGACATAATTTGTGTAGTCTACATCAAATTATGTTTTAATCAACCAAATTCAAGGGTCACTATTTATTGTCAAGTAAAGAATGAAATAGATTTGTTAAATTTAATTTATTTTATTATATTCTATGTTCTTGTTAACTATACCGTACAAGAATACATTCTGTGGCCAGCTAAAATTGGGTACAAAACAAATGGGTTATGTTACAAACTGATAATTGCGGTGAAAAAAAACAGTAATTTAGTAAATATGAGGCATTGAATGATCAAATGGATTCTCCTGATAGAATTAGTCACTTTTGTTGTTGGTATATTATCAGTTTAGGATTTTCCACCATTCACTGATTGAAAATGAATCGAAGTCAATGACATCAGTTGAAACCAGTTTGCTTTTGAACATTTCTATACAATCAATACTTGCTCTTGGTAAATTAAGGTTGGAGCTGAAAGGATTGAATATTGTAATAAACCGTGTTAAAGGTTTTCCACATATATTAATATTTTGACTGCCTTTCTTGACTTGAGTATGGTTTTCTTGGCCAGATTCCTCTCGGTTTGGTTTGTGGACGGGTTATCCATGTTGTGTGGCCGCCTCACAGAGTAGGTGAAGCTGACAGAAAAATAACCGAACAAAGATTGTCCTGATGATTTTGTTAAGATTCGCGAGAGCAGGTTCATCTTTCATAAGAATGTACATTACATTGATCATCTCAGGGCTGACATTTGCACCAAGGAAACATTATAAATGGTTATAGCAACTCCAACTTCCTTTCAAGATTTCATCATTTGATTATTCATTTGTATTCTATTGTTTATTTGTCACAATTTGTCTGTCCTTTAGCATTGGAAAGCTGTTCTATAATCTTTAAGTGAGATCGTTTTTGTTAAAAAGAAAGTTGAGTATTTATAAATAGTTTATAAATATGAGCCAAATAGGAGGATAAGATGATTGGTTAAAAGAATTAGTTTGCTAAAATTAAATAATAAACTGAATTCATGTAATGATATTTAATTATTAATTCTATTATACATCAGAATTTTAAAATATATATATTTGTGTATAGTTAACTACTTTTTATATATAATTACTTTTATTTAGAATCGAAGTAAAATGCACCTCTTATAGAAAATCCTAGTAAAAAAGTGACAATTCTATCATTTCCATATATAACAAGCTATTGTTACAAGTTTAAAATTTGCAAGTATTGCTAGTCAGGTTTTATTTTAATTTTTCGCACCTCCATTCATGCTAAAAATAACGTCAGAAAAATCACCTTTATAGGGTAGAAACGCTCAAATATTTGTTATATATAACCATTATCTTATTTCATTTGGTATATTATATTAAACACAATCGTATATATTTACCCTTTGTAGGTTACAAATTATTTTTTCGATTTGATTTCTAATGTCTTAACAACAAAATCACTTGTTAATAAGTCTTAGATCTCATTTTCGAAAAAAAAAGAAAGTAAAAAAGAAAAAAGAAAGTAAGTTATAACTTCAAGCAAACATTAGGTGGGCACCTCTCAACTATTTGTCCAAACAGGGGACATGCCATACAAAGTGATTAAATCAAAATTAAGACATGTTTGGTGGAGATTAGAATCAAAATTTTAATAGATTTATTGGAGGAATTTTGTGAATAGTGGCGCCAAAATAAGTATAATGATGGTTTGTAAATCCGTGCCGAAAATTGGATAGAGTAACGACAAAGAAAATACAAACAAGAAGAAGAAGAAAGTAGGGGACAAAGTCGAGGCAAGAGTTGGACTCTTTGTCCTTAAGTCGAATTTGCCCCACAACGGTGCCTACGGATTTCGACAATCGACTCCCAAGATACAACGGCTACACTTGTGTTTGTAGCACTCCAAAACACAAGTACAACGAACCAAATTTAGGCTTATGTACTCCAAGGATGAAATGAAGGAAAATCAAAATAAATGAAATGATTTTGATTTTGGATAGAAGAGAGGATGAGAGATGTTTTGTATATCAAATTGTGAGGAATAGGACACCCAAAGGGTCCTCTTTATAGACCATGAAAGGGTATGGACGAAATGGTTGAGGCCAAACCATGCACCCTTTCCAAACAATGCACCTTTATGAAAATGTGTCTATTCACCGGACAACCGTGTGGCCGCACGGTTACACGATTTTACTCAAAAAATCGGAATTGAATTTGACGTGTGATCGCGCGGTTTACCAACCATGCGGTCGCACGGTCAAATATTTTGACCTGATTTTCGTAATTTCTCATTCATCCGATATTGATTTTCGAAATGCCAAATATACCTTTCAATACATGCAGAGAAATCAAAATTCTCTTTTGGGGGCGTTGCCCCCGAGCCCCCACGGGGGGCGCTGCCCCCTCGACTCCCGCAACCTGACCAGGCAGGTCGATCTCCGTTTGTGCGCCCCGAAGCGGCGAAGTGGCAAACAATTTTGCCTAAACGAATTGAGTCGAACTTTTGAGTATTTGGTCGAAGTCGGTACGAAATCACTTTAATCGATTTTCAATTCTCGATTTATTTAACCAATATCCAACAAGATTTTGATAAAAGTTGATGAAATATATGATTGTAAAATTGTGAATTTCATGAAATATATTGTTTAAAATAAAATCTCCTACCACTCTAGACATTGTTTAAATTCACAACATTATTACATGTGATTGGGCTTCTGCTTATATATATATTTGAAATAGTGATTTTTTGAAGAATGCGTGGTTAAAAAATAAAAATAAAATTTTAAATTTACGTGAAAATTTTTTTATGAGAGAATATACAATTCAAATTAGGTTTTTTTTTTTTTTTTTTTAAATGGAGCCCACACAGGGGCTCAATAAGGTGGGGGTGGAAGTCCTATTTCTAGTCTACTAGCATAAGTGTCGGTTGTGTTTCATTTGTTATGATCATTTTCATTCTTTCTTCTCACTCTTTTCAGGCCACCTTTTCCCTCACCTCTGCTACCTACCACTCTAGACATTGTTTAAATTCACAACATTATTACATGTGATTGGGCTTCTGCTTATATATATATTTGAAATAGTGATTTTTTGAAGAATGCGTGGTTAAAAAATAAAAATAAAATTTTAAATTTACGTGAAAATTTTTTTATGAGAGAATATACAATTCAAATTAGGTTTTTTTTTTTTTTTTTTTTAAATGGAGCCCACACAGGGGCTCAATAAGGTGGGGGTGGAAGTCCTATTTCTAGTCTACTAGCATAAGTGTCGGTTGTGTTTCATTTGTTATGATCATTTTCATTCTTTCTTCTCACTCTTTTCAGGCCACCTTTTCCCTCACCTCTGCTAAGGTGAGATCATCTGCCGACTGCAGTTCTTTTCATCTGGGCTCCGGCAATTTTCGCTCATATTATGAATATGTATTTATATTACACACGCGTACATACATTTGCATTGTATTGTTTCTTGATTGAGTTAATTTTTTGGCAATTTGATTTTTTCTGTCGATTGTGTGATTTTTGGGAAGAGTTCATTATCAATATCAGTTAGTTGGGAAGGCTATTTTTGATCAATCTTGAAGGGAGAATGTATACTTGAAAGCACTGCCAAACCCATCTTGCTGTTTGTTCTGATCTCATCTCCAAGGTTTTTCCCCCTGATTTCTCTTTCAATTTTGATGTGTTTATACTTTAATATGTGCTTATATATCTATAAATTTTTTTAAATATATTTTTGAGTATTTTGAACTTGGGTTGTGGAATGTAATTTTTGATTGTCCATCTTCTTGTTGGTGAAAATTAAGATGGGAATTAGGAAGATAATGACATGGAATAAACTGGAAGTTTCGTATTCTTATGGAATGTTTGGTAGGAAGGATTGAATAGTATGGAAGAAAAATAGCTAAAATCTCGTTTATTGTGCAGTCGAGCATACTGTGCCATGTACCAAAGATGTACTTAATGTTTATTACAAGAAAGGTAAACATATGAGGGGATTTCTTTTGTTTACCTTTTTGAGAGTTGATCTAAATTGGAGTTGATAATTGTGAGAGAAAGTATAATTTCATAACCAGAAGAATTTGGAGAGACTCTTCACCTCTGCATATCTTTAATGCAAAGAATTCAATTAGTTATTTTCGGTGACAACTAAGATTTGACTTGAATTTCTGATTTGTTATTGTTTGAGTCATCACTTTGGGGACAAATTTATGAAATAGAGATTTCATTTATTTGTTTCAAACTTCATGATTGGAATAGACTGACTAGTGGTTATGTGCAGCCTGTGCATCTAAATATAGAAATTATTCTTTTTTTAGGTTCATTTACAAATGTTACAAATGTCTCACTGCTGGTCTGCCGAAAGTCTAGCGTCCATTTGACCGTAGCTCTAGGAAACGGACTAAATATTTTAATGGTAAGTATCATGAGTTGGAATTAAAATTTGTCAATTTGTCGTTTACTTCATGGAAACAACTTTCTCGATATGAATAGTTGACAGATCTGGAAAACAAACTGTCAGAGAACTTTAAATAGTTGTATCTGGAACTATAACTATCGTGTTGTATCTTTATATGATGAGTCGGTATTAGATACACCTAAGACGTAGATTTTCCTTTTGCAGGCATCTGAAACCAGTTTATAATGCCCACATTAGTGAGTCCTATGCCACAGCATATGACAGTCCCGAATAGTAGTCTTGCAGGCATCTAGCACTTGTTTTTTTATAATTTATGGAAAGTTACTAGTTATGAATGTAAGAAATTTATTGTAATTTGTTTGAAGGGGAGGATAGTAATCATCTTATCTTTGTATGCTGCTCGTCATTGAGGGCGTACTCGATAAGGAAATTAGAAGCTTATAATATCACTGAATGATAAAAATGAAGAATCCGCAAGTCATCAGTTCATACGGAATAACTAATGGTACCAAGAATTGATGTATATGCACAACTTCTAACCAAATCTTCTTATCTATTTTCAATCTTTCCATTGAAGGACTGGAAAAACTTATCTCTTCGATAAGGTGTAAGTATTCTTTGATAACCATAGTCGTATTTATCAAAAATTAATTTATGGAGTTCCAGCATAAATATGAATGCGTGTACGTCAATATTGAATTTCTTGTGGTTTTATATGTTTGCTAGTTAAAATTGTTAATAAGATTTTTAGTAGATTTTTATAAAATTTGGTGAAATATGTGGTTGAAAAGTTGTGGGACCCATAAAATATGTGGTTAAAATTGATTGTTGATTTTAACGTAGATTAAAAATTGAATTTAAATCGATACCAAACATGGGTTGAGGAATCTTTTTTTGTCGTTGATTGAGAACTATTCGTCAATGGGAAGTAGTAGTCACCGAATCCTTTCTCTAAGTTACTTATTTTAACAACAAATTAAGAATTTCTTTTGAAATAACCAACCTTTTTTCCTTCATTAAGAAAAAAACTTACCCAAACATGTTTGCCAACAGGGAAAAAAAAAAAAAAAAGGAAAAAAATTATTTACAATTAACTTTTACTTATTTTTTTTATGCTCAGCTAAACTTGCTTTATGATAACTATTCGTTTTTAATGCTTCTTGACATTCACTTGTAATTACAACTGTTGTGAAATAATCTGTTAATTATCAGCATTCCTAATATCGTACTCTGTAATAATAGTGTGAATGTGACCACTGGTCAGAAGGAAGAGAGGAAGATGATGACTGGTGTGCACACAGTTGTTGACACGTTCTGTGTGCGGTGCGGCTCACTTGTGGGATGGAGATACGTGAGTTTCGAAAACTTGAAGGCCTGTACTCTGTGCATGTTTGGCAAAGCTTATAATTGTTATAAGCTAGTTAATATCTATTTTTATTCACACCTTCAACTTTTATACACTTGTGAATTGTGATACACATTGCAAGGACCCACAATTTATAATTTAATAGAAGCTTTGCAAAACATGTATTTCTTATTCTTTTTAGTTTGTGTCCTTGTCGCTCATATACTATTTATTATTTATTGCCAGGAAACTGTTAATGAGAATAGCCAAAAGTACAAGGAAGGAAGATTTATCCTTGAGAGGTATACAAATAAACCATGTTTGTTACACACTATTGGAGAGTATTTGAATTAAACTTTTTAGCTTTTTTCCCGTAAATAATATTGTGCTGTGTTTTGCATTTGATATTTACATATTTTTTTGGGTTGCGTAGGTTTAAGGTATTGGGACCGGATGGAAGTGCATATTCAATAGGTCATGAAGATTACGAATCTAGAAGTGAAGATGAAGTTTGATCCTTTTGGACATTTTCGTGATTGATCAACTTTTTTGAAAATGTACATCGTTTCCTTAGCCTTCTGGTTATGTTCCTCGTTATCATTACTCATTAGTGAACTCGAAACAGTTTTGCAAGATGATTTATGATGTTGATCTTTATTAGAATATTAACAAAAACGTGGATCTGATAGCACTCCTTCCAAATGCTATGATGTTGGATTGCCAATTAGAATTGTGCCAGTCGTTTATGATATGTTAAGTATGATTTGGAAAAGTCTGGTTTAATGTAATTTCCACTATTTCAAATATCATTTTGGATTGGGCCTGGATTATTTGTTAATTGAGAAAAATACATAACCACCAACCTTTAAAAATACACTCTCAAACTAAAAAAAAATAAAAAAAAAAATGAACCTTGTTAAATTCTTTTAAAAGTCAGGTGGTATTAATTAAAGAGGAAATTGCAGAGGATGTCAAATTTTCCCTTGAAATTTACAAAAGTGTCACTTTTTTTTGGGCATTACAAGAATGTCAATTTTAGAAATATTTATCCCCCTAAATAATTTCAAATACCTTGCATGTTCTAATTAAATGAGATTTGACAACTGCAAAAAATTGTACCAAAATGGCAATGTGTCAATTCAATTTAAAAAAAAAAAAAATTTGAAAAAAAGGTACCAAAACTCAAAAATCACTATCCAATCTACCATTCCCATTTACCCTAACTCTCTTACCGTGTCTCTCATTTCAATTGTTCACCATAGCGCTGTCGCTGACCGCCATTCTACTTTCGACCGCCGACGAAGTCCACAAAACTACAATCCCGTGTCGTCATTCATTGAAACGCTCACGTTTAATTTCAATTCCCTTCCCTCTTTCTTTCTAGACATACAGATGGGGATGGATTTGGGTGGGTGAGCTTCCTCCTTTTCCTAGATTCTACCTTGATACGAAATACCATCTTTTCTGTTCTCTTTATCATTTTTTTCTGTCTTTGCATATCTACATTCAAACTCTTGGGTTTGATTCAGAGTTTCATTTAATCATAAAGCCAAACTTGTGATTAGTTATCATCCCATTTTTTATATTTACATAATCCGTGAGTACAATTTGTCTTTTTTGTGCCTTTTGTATTTTTCTTTCTCACTCAAACTCGCACGGGTATAATATTTTTAGGGTTTTTAAGTTCATCTTTTGTTTTTAAATATATTTTTTTTATTCGAAATATTATCTGGGCTACTGTTGCGATTTTCATTTAATAGTATACAAATCTTTATTGGTTTCTATGGGTTGTGTTAATTACATTTTGAGTTATTTTCCTTTTTATTAACTTGTAATTAATAATATTATACAAAGGTGAAAATGCTATCTTTTGGCTATTGATTTTCTTGGACATCAATTTTATTATTTTTATTGTCCAATTTTCAGATTAAATTGCACATTTTTATATTGGACATGCTATGATGACATAGAATTAGACATTTTATAATTTGATCAATTGCTATTTACCACAATCTTTATTTTTCCATATTTTGTACGAACCATAGTGTTCACATTTTCATTTAGATGCTTGACATCATAACTGTGGTTTTAAATTTTCGTTATGCTCAAATATGTAGTGAAGTAGCTTTTCAATATTACCTATTTGCGTAGAGGTAAAAAGCAGATTTCTCGATAATTCATCTGTAGGCATGTCACTAATGTAGAGAAATTCCATCGCGTTTGAACTGTCGTTCCCGACAGTTAGCCTCTGTATTTCTCGACAGATGAACCGTCGGGAATGATAGTTCAGTTCTTACCTCTGCTCTGTTCCACAAGTCGAACTTTCGTTAATCGTAACATTGCACGAGTGTTTCACATAAATGTGTATAAAATATTAGGAATGATTTGGCGAATTTTCGATAAGTTGTGCCTAGGTAATATATGTGCAGATTTGTACTCATGAACTGAACGAGTGTCAAAATGTTGGTGCACACGTTCATGAAAATGTAATGGGAAGTGGAACCAATTGATTTCCTTGTCAAAGAAAGAGCAATCTTCACAACGGTCCACTTCTGGTAACTGTTGAGAATGCACGGAAGAACATTTTTTCTTACATTAATATATATTCATTTTTAAGAAATGTTGGTTTTGTTTATGTGAAAGTCATCTGTTTGGATTTTGTACGAAAATGTCAGTACGGAAACTGTTTTCGGTGCATTTTATAAGTATCTTGCTTTTGGATCTCGTTCGATTTAGATATTAAAGCTGATATCCAATTGAAACGAAAACTGGTGCGTTTTATAAGTTTCTTGCTTTAGAAACTCGTTTGATTTAGATATTAAAACTGGTATTCAATAAAAAGACTGTTTAGTTTTCGGAACTCGTTCGATTTATCGATTACAACTGGTATCCAATTGAAAAATGTATGATTGAAATGAATATGTGCAGATTTGTGTCACTCAAAAACATTTGTGAATCACGGTAATATCATCGGTCATCTTTAACTTTCAAAACATAACGAGCACTTCTTTCTACGTGCTTTAAAATGTCATGCGTACCATACTCCAATTAAGATGAAATGGTACGCATGATTTAATGTTCACAATTTTCGTAAACGATAGACAAAGTGTGGGTGATACAAATCGTTCGAACTCTACGACCCGATAAGTTGTAGCAGCTCCTTTGAACAAAAATATTGAACTTGTCGGACCAGAATAGAAGTGATTTTGTCCTCACTCCACTTCCATTCGTCACCCGCATGAACAAACTTTTGTACATACGACACGATGAACCACAAATGATTGTTCATATTTGAAATGTTGGGATTGCAACGGTAAGAATTCCACAAAATCAATATGTTGGAATTTAATAACATGAAAGTGGCACTGCATAATACGTAAATCCCTACAATAGCAAAAGATCAAATCAAGGGTCTCCATCGTTTTGAAGTATCCAAATTGACAGTAAAATTGTATATCCCGACAGTTTGTAAATGTCGGGTTTGACATTTCAAACGTCTAATCCGACGGTTTGTAAATGTCAAAACTATCGAAAATTTCGGGAAGCAGACGGCGGTGGGTGGAACTCAGGCTTCTTCAGCACATTAAGTGTGGACATTACTATTGAACTACGAACTGACAAAATAAAAAGGTCAGATTGGCATTGTTATTAAATAGATATTTAATCAAAACATTGTTTGGTTTATATGAAAGAAATTACTCGAAACCTCAATGTTGATAATGAAATTTTGTGAAGTATTCCAAAACCAAACAAATCAATACATAATAGTCTTAAAATTTTCAAATAAATATGTCCATATTGTATTTAACATTTACAAAACAAAATGCTAAAAAAATAAAATATAAATAATTTCTAATTGCTAACATCTCAAAATGGATGAAAAATGTAAGAGAAATGTCTTATTGATCAATGAAAATGAAGAAGATGAAGAAAGTTAGGGTTTGTAAGAGAATAAGATAATATATTTGTTTATATTTCATTTTTCATTTGTCAATTTCTTTTACCATTTTTTATTAACACAAATTCATATCAATCAATATAATACATATTTATCTATATTTTTTATATACAAAATAAATCATTACATCAATAGAATCATTTTCATTCAAATCAAGCATTAAATGCTAATCAAAATGTGTCATTAAGGATAATTTGGACATTTCACCCTAAAAAAGTGACATTTTTGCTCACATAAAGTGAAAATAACAATTTTTTTGTAACTTTCAAATTTTGTGACATTTTAGAAAATTCCCCTTAATTAAATAAGTTACTAGACACAAATCACCGAACATCATGTCACAAAGACATAAAATGTTTATCACAATTATTAATTTAGTCACAAATGCACATTTTTATAGATCACAACTCATTATCGATCATGTAAATAGTGATCCTCGAGCAACGGCATAGGGCTTGGACTTTGAGCACAGATAATGTGGGTTGGTAAACTTGGCTATGGTTCGGTGATTCAATGGGGGTGCTGATGAAATTATGGGCTGCTAGAGTGCAATGCAATAGTGGCTGACGAAATGGGAATGATGGTGGTGGCAGATGACAGGTGAAGATGGAGAGTTGCATTTCTTACGGAGGTGGTGGAGATGGCAGACGGAGGGTAGATATGGAGTTTTGTTGGATTGTGGATTTGTGAATTCAACTGAGGGAGAAAAATGATTAATGATAGCTAGGGTGGTATGAGGTTGGGTGGGATATAGTGTATACCTAAATTTTGACAGAATAAAGATAGAACTCTGTTGTTTGTATGGAAACTTAGAAAAGAGGGTTATATGTAATTTCGTCTTCAGGGGTTATATGTAATTTCGTCTTCAGGCGGGGACCAATACTCGAGTTCAAATTTTTTTTTTTTTACCACTATAGGCATAAAAACTAAATTCAGAAAAAAGATATGGTGCTATGTTAGTATACACATGCATACATAACTTGATAAACATATGATAGTGCGACTGAACAATGCAAGCAAAAAATAATCACAAAATCACAAATTCATGCCTCATTTCCTGGAAAGAAACTCATATTTTGTAAAGAAACAAGGTGAAATAGAACTACAATTAAAGTTTAGTTATTGATAATAAGTAATTTGTATAACAATTGAATTTTTTTATCAATCAAAATTAGAGCTAAGAAAGTTACTTAATGGTTAAGCAAGATTAACTTTTTTAGCTCCTGTTTGGGTTCCATTTTAATGTGATTTTGGGATGAAATATATTTTAGTACGTATCATATTATATTATTGCAGAATGTACTATTAAAAAAAAGAAAAAAAAAAAGAGAAAAATACATTAAAATTAAAATGGAGTTCAAATAGGAACTTAGCTAAAAGTGATGAAAAGGTAAAGTATACGAACCACCATGCTATGTTTACAAACGTATTTGTCAAACAGAGTTACAGGTTGTTAAATAACAACATTTCATTGGAGTTTGACAAAAAACGAATTATAAAACATCCAATCATGTAGTTCATGTACACTGGCCTCTGGCAAAGTTTCCTGTACATGGGGGCTTATTCCCTATATAAACATGGTCACTTATTTTGAAGCTCGTCAAAACTTGCCCAATTAGTATATATGCCTCTTGGAAATGCCATCGCCATATATCTGCATTAGTGCGTAGTTGGCTGCGTTTAAACTTGCAAGATTTAATTGTTACATAGTCAAGGATTTTTCTAATGAGTTTAATTTTTAGACAAGATAAAGAAGTTAACTAATATTTTTAGATGGGAGAGTAACATCATTTTTATGGACGTATATCGTATTTTTCTTATTTGTTAATAAGAGTTCATTTTAGTGACTTGTTAATATTTTATTGGCGAAATAGCTAAACATAAACAGTACACCTCAACTCGTCTAGATAGTTTAGCTTAGCAAGTTAAATTTTATGAAATGTGACATTTCCTTTATAAGCTATAAAACTTCATCATTGTTGTCCTTCTCGGCAAATAACAACTACTATTATTTATCTATTTTGATATTGTGTCTGAAGATTAAAATCTTGAAGCTTCAATTTTGCGATATCATTCTGATATAGTTGTCAACGTGAAAAGAAAAATTATTCATATGAATGTGATCTCTCTTTGCAATCTCATGGATCATATTTCTTTCTCATTTATGTGTGTGTGTGTGTTTTTTTTTTTTACCACTAAATCCAATCTTTTACTAAAATTAAAATTGAGATGATCGAGAAAAACTCATTATAAAATGACATCATTTCCCATAATTGAGAGAGATGCGGATTACAAAAAACAGGTCAACTTTAATGTAGTCAGACCACACCGCCGCTACCTTACAAGGATTATTCTGCTGAGAAAAGGAAGATGAGGGGCCAACTTTTCGCGTCATAACTTTTCTTTTGTGAACTTTTCATATCACAAATTGTCGTGATATGGTTCAAAGGAAACAAAATTAGATTCTAACGGGGATCACGTGTGCCTTTGGCTGGGCAATCAGGGGCTTATGCTGTGCCTCTTTGATTTTCACTCATCCACATATAAGTCCAATGATATTGATTTAAAAAAATAAATTGTATTTTCTAATTTTTTGAATTTATTAGATTTGATTTAATATAAAAAAATCAGGAACTTTTCACTAAACAAGTTCAAGTGAACATACCAGAAACGTTTACGAAATAAAGGAAAGTTTTTTTCTTGGTCATAATTTGCACGTGGACCGCTCTAGAGAACAAGTTGAATAAGGAAAAAATTTGTAAACAATTTAATATTGAAATCGATAGAAATGAGGGTGAAATAAGTGGATGATACTTGTAAATCCATTTAAATATGTGATCCAAGTACTAGTGTTTAAACAATGATGAAGATAATTTATTTTATTTTATTTTATTTTTTGTTGGGGTCGCGACACGTCTTTCGTAGTTGGACAATGATTTCAATACAACAAATTTAAAATATTTATTGATCCTTTTTATCTTTTATTAATTCTCAGTTTGAATATCCTCCTTTAGACTTATTTCTGAAATGCAAATTTATTCAGTTAAGTGTGGTATTTAAATAGAAATCTGAAAAGTCTATGTCCATTTCCTATGCATTCTAGACTCTATCTCATCCCATTTTTGAATTGAAAAGTAAATATCAGTTAATAGCAACTTGCAAATTTTAGCCTCCGTTTGGCCAATCAAATTAAATTATATTTTTTATCTTCTGTTTTCAATCACAAAATCTTTTATAAAATAATATTACACGTAACATTTTATTTCCTTTTCAACCACTCATTCTCCAAAAAAATACTATTTCGCCCATTAAAATTTGAAATAATGGAGGTCAAACGGGGGCTTAAGTATCAAATACAATAACTTATTTCCCATGTTGACTAGTTAAAATATTGTTTATTTCAACACGTCTCTACTTATAAGTGAATTTTTAAGTTTAGCCAAACATGCTTTAAGTCCAAATTATCTCTAACTATGAATCTGTTCTGAATGCCAGAGTGAAGAAGACTCTGCCTATGAAATATCAAAATATGACGGAAACATCCATTGCAGCAGCCTTGATCTCAGCCACAATAGCCACACTCAGGACACAATTAGGCAACAAATGCAAATGAGGGGTACTCCTTACAAGACAATTTTGGATGACATTTCAGGTACTATAATACTAAGCCCATTAACTATTTCATCAATTTCATGTTTCTCAGAGTAGAACCAGAAGAAGTCGAAAATAGTAGACTTAAAGCTATAGGTACAAGGTACGAAAATAGACAAGTACATAATTAAGTTCAAGGGGAATTGAGCGGTGACTGAAAGATACCTCATAAGTGGGAAAATTTACTTAAAACATGCTGAAATTTTCCACATATGTTCTACATCCTGAAATTCAGAGATGTCTAAAGCTCATTTTCACTATACGTGCCCTAACCTTTTCTATGGCTCATCTGAAAGCTTAATATCAAGCACGGTGGACGGAGAGCCCGCAGTGTTAGCCTCAATTTCTACTGGCCCATTTGTATGATTTGCAGCTTCTTGGTGGCTCTTCCCTTCATTCAAGCTTTGAAACAGCTTTAGGAGGCCTATTACCATTATCACTAAGCCGGTTGCAACAGTGATTTTAATTGAGAGGGAGAAATGGATGATGGGTTTCTCGACAGCTCTGTACATATTGGTGAACAGATTGTAATGGGAAAAATAAAAAAATTGTCTCTCAATTCTTTTCATAAATAACAAAATAGTCATGTGCGTTTTCTGGCACAAACTTGAAAGATTAAGCTCCGAATAGATTAAAAAATCTAGGGAAAAGGATACCTGGGCATGGATGGATATACGCATTCAGAAATTGTAGCTGTAAATTAAAGAAAAGTTAGTATCATTCAAAATATAATTATTTTGCTTTTGGGTGTAAAGGGACTAAGGGAGGCATACGAGGTGGGTCTTGAGCTAGAGTGGCTGTGTTTGAGAAGTTACAGCTCCCCTGAACCTGCCCGTTTCTTTGGTAATAACTATTAACAGCAACATTGCAGTGATCCTTCACAGTATTTGGCTGAAAACAGGGGCCATTTTGCATAATTGGAATACAATCTGCTCCAGCACCACATGCATAGTCAATGTTCTTCTGGTAAATCGCATCGCTCAATCCATCATCACAAATGCAATAATATGCAGCATCTACAAAAGCCCATATCCAAAAAAAAATTAAAAAATTCCAATGAACATAGACCATTTTACACTGGGATGGATCGAGGATTTTCGACAAGGGAGCTGAAACTTAAGAAAATCAATGCAATAAAATTTTTGATGAATGACACAAAAACTACAATTATTTGGACTTAGGATTGAAGAATAATATATTATATTTCCGATTCCATCATTGAGTCCTCATTTAGGCATCCGATCGTATAAACAGAGAAACATTAAACATCTATTCTTTATTACCCTTTTCGAAAAAAAAAAAAATTACAGTTTAGTTATAAGGATCATTTCACTAGTAAAAAATTAATGGAGACCACAACGGATCCAAGCTCCAAGTCACACCTATGAAAATTTGCTCCCTGAAACTGTCCATATAACTAATGCTTAAGTTGCAGTAAAATTCAATTAAACAGTAAAAAAAATTGTGAAAATTAATATTCCAAAAGCTGTCCTTGTACAGATCAGAGAAATATAAAATCTCCGGTCAACACACTCAAAATTCAAACTTCAGACAAATTGAAAGAAAGTGTTTCAAAAATTCATAAATAGAACCCAAAAACATCCCACATCTGAAAAATAACAAACAAAAGAAAACACCAAGATTAGCCAGATCTAATGAAAAATACAGATTTCCAAAAATAGAGAGACAGAAGCAGTGTTAAGGCATACCATTAAACAATGGAGATGCAGATTTCCAAAAATTGAGTCTATCTCAAAAAATAGAGGGCTGACAAGGGGATGGCCGGATGGATATCTAGGTTAGGATTTGAGCTGGGTTTTAGTTTTCTATTTTTGTTTTGGGCTTGGGCTGCTAATTTAAAGACGGGCTCTCGTTGATTTCTGAGAATTAAATTGCACCTTTTCTTCATTTTTTTTTATTCTTAATAATTTATATAACTGAAAAATTATTTATTTATTTAATTTACTACTACATAAATTACTACATAAATAATTATGTTTCTTTTACGAAAATATTAAATTCGTTAATAAATTTCAAAAATGTAGTACAATTAATAAAAATATAACGACTAAGAAAATATTAAATCATGTTATTTAAATAATCATATTTGTTACATTTTAAAACTTTTTGAGTACTTTTATTTTAATTCATTCCTTGATTATTATTGATTACAGTATTAAAGTTTATTATAAATAATAATAATAAAGAATTAAAATTTATGTAAAATGACACAAATATCCTTGATATCATATTGTGCTAAATGAAAAAAAAAGGGTTGGCGGGGGGGGGGGGGGGGGGTGCAAATTTGTGACCAAAGTGCACGAAGAGAATGGAACATACAGAAACTAATTTCATATTTTGGAGTAAGAAACAGGAGCAATCCAATACAATCTACTCAGTTGATTAATTAAAAACCATACCTGAACAGAGACGGTGGATGGGAGAAATGTAATTAAAAAGGGTACCGGGTGGACTAAAAGAATAAGTGCCAGAAAAGACGATAAAACGGGAGAAAAGAGATTGCTTGCCTGAAGTTGAACGAGCGATGGTGAGGAAAAGCACTAATGACAGTATGAAAACAGACATGATTATCTCAATACCCTGAAGTTGAACAAATTCTGATGGTCTGAGTGAAAGAGAAATATAACACATATATATAACCATGTTTACATAAAGGAAGGTTCATAAGTCCCTCTTTCTCTCTCTTGTAACCTTTTATGAAAGAGAAATATAACACATATATATAACCATGTTTACATAAAGGAAGGTTCATAAGTCCCTCTTTCTCTCTCTTGTAACCTTTTAACATTTATCGTTGGTTGGTCCCTCTTTTTCTGTTTTTTTCTGAGAAAAGGTAATCACTATGTTTAGTTCCACAAATAGTCTCCGTGTTTTTCATACATGATAGCAAGTACTGGAATAATTAATTATTCCATATGTGGGCTTCACATTGGATTGTAAATTTTACGGGTTAGATATATGGCTCATAATGATATTTGTGTTTGGACCAAATTTATTAAGTAATCAATTGGGCCTTTTACACCTTACGGGTTGTAATTAATTTGATGTGGTAATTTAAAGTATGTGGGTCGAAAATAAACCCTAATTAAAATTCTAGTCGTAATAGGACGGCTCAAATTATTTCCTATATATAAAGATTAGGTCCCCTCTCCTCTCCATATGTTTCATTAGCTTGCCCCATTGATAGCTAATACTTTTGTGAGGAGTAAGGAGGGGAAGATCTTGGCTGCTATTACAACTATAATTCATATCAACAATGGCTTCCGCAAGTATTTATTCGATTTATCAATTTATTATTTTGTGATTCTTGATTCTTAGCATGATTGAAATTAAATATTAACAATTGGTATTAGAGCCTCATGTTAAGACCAGAATCCATTATTTAAACAAATTATTGTTTTAAACTTTTTCGTCTTTGCATTAAATTTTCACGTGAAGATTATGTGCATATAATTTCGTATGTGTGTATATGCATAATTTGTTATATAAATACAAGTAAAGAAACCTAGAAATATGAAAAGTGCAGAGTTCCCATTTCCTTCCCCAATTTTGTAGAGAACCCAATCTGTAAACCCAATTTTGTATCATCACCAAACAAAATCCGCATCCAAGAACACAAGATCGAAATCGTGCTGCTGTTGCCGGGCAGCGCCTAGGGTTTTTCCGTTAAGAATTTTAGCCCGTAGCTCTCGAACAGAGATTGAACCCCGGCCATTGATGTCCACCGTATCGAAATTCACCGAGCTCCGAAATTTGAACCGAATTGACATAATTTATAATCGTTTCACCAATGAGCTATATGTGTATGTATATCAATTAGGGTTACTGATTTATGACTATACACATATATGGAGGGAAAGTGCAGGGGTTACGTAGGAACTAAGGAGGGTTTCCGGTTTTGCTTCGCCTTCGCTGAAAATGAAAATAAGATTTCACTTCTCTTCCCCCTAATGAATAAGCCCCTGATAATGAACTAATCCCAAAACCCACTGCAAAATCCATTAAACAGAAACCAAAAAAAAAAAAAGGTTTCTGCGTCAACAGAAATAAGGGGAGACGGGGGCCTCTTGCAAATATTTGATTTTCAAGCCCCTGTTTGCAATTTGAGGCTGGGGGTCATATTGTAATTATTTAAATAAGGACCTGTCACACAATTTTAAATCTAGGGGTCAGATTGCAAATTTCAAAAAAAAAATTTGTTTTGAATTGAAATTTAAGGGTTTCACATTGGATTTTTAAAGTTTTGACCCTAAAATTTCAATTTTGATCCAAATTAAAACTTTATTTAAAATTGACCCGTTTAAAATAATAATAATAATAAGTGACAACTTTTATATTTTCGTTAAATGTATAATTATAGTCGTTATTATTTGTTCGTTTAAATTTCGCCTTTTATATATTAAAATTTTGTTGCCAATTTTAGTTCTCAATCACATGTGAATTTTGTCATTCATCGATTAATGATTATAATTGTTCCATGATTATTATTTAATGATTGAATTTTTCTATGGGCCTTGCGACGATTCTTGTTTTCCCACTAAGAGAAATATTTTGAAATAAAAATGGGTGATAGCTGCCAAAGTGGCACACTCATTATTATTTATTCGATTTTCTCTACAATAAAAATACATATATTTTTGCCCAACAACTTTTGATTTATTGCATATAATATCTTGTCCAAAGGTGTTATTATATTTAATATTTTTGAAAAATGGCATGAGAAAGTTAACGAGTTTATTTTGGTTTAGAAATTTCCTTTTGCCCAAAGGTGTTGGTGTTTTGAAAATCAATGTAATTTTGTTAACTGGCTACATGATGTGTTTTAAGAGTACCTTATAGCATGTTGTATTGTCAACCCAAATGTGACTTTATGATGATGCATCTAGGCTCTTACAGTAATAAAATTCATATGTTTCGATTTAAATTACGGATTATCTAATTAATAGCCCATATTAATTAGTTGATATTTCATCATCCATTTGATTGCATGCAGTTTTGATGATATTAAGAGTGTGATATTTTATGTTTCCATAGTTTATAATGTCTCATCTCTTTCGAATCAATTGTCTGCTATTGAAACATTGACTGGGAATAACTATGTAAGATGGAAACGAGACGTAGAAATAACACTTGGTCTTTTGGGCTTGGATTTTGCAATGGAGAAAAAGCTTGAAAAACCCACAGATAAGAGTACCGTTGAATATGTAACCGAGCATGAAAAGTGGGAAAGGACTAACAAATTTTGTTTGAAAATTATTAAGCAATCGATATCTGATTCCATTCTAGGTGCTATCCCTGATAATGAAAATGCCAAAAGTTTTATGAATGCCATCGGAGAAAAATTTATTGAGTCTGATAAAGCCGAAACTGGGGATCTGATGGATAAAATTTATGAGCATGAAATATGACGGTACAAGTGGTGTTAGGGAGCATGTCATGAAAATGATAAATATATCATCTAAGCTAAAGGCTCTTGACATTCCCATTGCTGAGCCTTTCCTGGTCTATCATGTTTTGAATAGCCTTCCTAACAAGTTTAATCAGCTTAAGGTTGCTTACAATGCTCAGCAGGATAAGTGGAATTTGAATGATCTCATAGCAGTGTGTGCCCAAGAAGAGTATAGGATGCGCCGTGAAACTGTTGAAACTGTGCAATTAGCTTTTCAGCCATCACAGAATAAGGGGTCTTCTCATAATCATAAATCTAAGTTTCGTAAGGGTAATAGGTCCCATCGAAGTCAGCAGAATAATAATTTTAGTGGTCCCAAAGCAGTTATAAAGAAAAATGATCAATGCAAGTTCTGTAAAAAGAAGGGTCACCGGCAGAAAGACTGTTTTAAGTTCAAGACTTGGTTGGAAAAGAAGAAGAGTTCTTCAGGTATTCCCTTGGCCTTAGTTTGTTTTGAGTCTTCTTTAGTAGATGTACCTTTGAATTCTTGGTGGTTAGACTCGGGAGCTAGTATTCATATTGCGAATTCCTTGCAGGGGTTCATAAGCAAACGGAGGCCAAGTGAGAATGAAGTAAGCTTGAGCGTTGCGAATGGATTTCAAGTGAAGGTTGAATTCATAGGAGTAGTGAAGTTAACTTTAGAGTCTGGTTTTTATCTTGTTTTGGAAAATACAGCTTATGTACTGCAGATGAGACGGAATTTAATTTCTATACCAAAACTTGATGCTTGTGGTTTTACATTTAATTTTGGTAATGGAATGGTTAAGTTATTTAATGATTCTCGTTTGATTGGAAATGACATTTTATGTGATAGTTTATATAAATTATCTTTGACTTCTTTTGGTGATGTCTCGTGTGTTACAAATGTATCAAAGAAAAGGGCTTTAATTCGTGAATCATCCTCTATGTTGTGGCGTAAGCGATTGGGTCATATTTCTAAGGATAGAATGCAAAGATTAGTAAAAGATGAGATACTTCCTTCCTTAGACTTCTCCGATTTTGACACCTGTATAGATTGTATAAGAGGAAAGTTAACTAAGTCTACGAAGAAGGGTTCGACTAGGAGTAATGAAATTTTGGACTTAATTCATACTGATATCAGTGGACCTTTGCTTTCCACTATATGTGGGAATAAATATTTCATAACTTTCATTGATGATTTCTCACGATATGGATAAATTTATTTGATTAACGACAAATCACATGCACTTGAGAAATTCAAAGT